CACTGGGATTTGAACTCTGGACCTGCCACTTGGGGGTTGACAACCTGACCACTTCACTAGGTCGCCACACCCCTTAACTAGCACATTCTTTTATTATAGACATATTAGATAATAATATCAAAATTTTATTTACAAAAACTGAATAAGAGGAAGTTATAGGCACTAATAAGAAAACTGTACTAGCTATTGACAAAGTTGTTGTAGAGTATTTACTGAGTTACAAAAAAAAGTCCTCCTTAGAAATGTGAACATATATTATGAAACTTTGATTAAACACAACATATAATAGAGAAAAACATTTTAATTTTCAATATATACATTAAGTTTTTTCTTATTTGCTAGACAAATATAAGTTATTGAAGAATCGATTAATGCAACTACATACAGAAGAATGGTATGCAATTAATGTTTGGAGCATATTGATTAATAAAACATTCTTAAATATTTCTGATATAGAACTTGTTCATGGTGAGATATGTAGCATTGCATCAAATAACCAAAAGAATAATGATGAAATATACAGAATAAAGAGTCAGAGAAAGGCACTTGAACATCATATTAATGGTATTTTTCAAAATACAGTCAACAACTATAAATATGAAGGAATTGAAGTCACAAAAATGTGTCAAGACTCATATAATAGGAAATATTTAGGCAAATTTTTGAAACTTATGAAACTCTTAAAAGATATATTTTATTAACAATCAAGTATTGTTGACTATGATGAAATGGTAGTTAAAAAAATAGAGATAGTTGGCTTGTTATATTTATGCCTTCAGTTGCAACAGTTCCTGATGGATTTCAGAGATGGTTCATGTTTGTGCCTCAGAAAAGAAACAACTAAAAATATTTTTCTGCATCTTGATAATATAATGAAGCTTATTAGTACAATTATATTTATTCTTTAAGTAAAACTTTGAATCCAACATTGTATTGAAGTATTAAAAAACAAACCTAAAGATGAATTATTCTTACATGAAATTATTCAACCTTTTTCGCATTCTTCTACTCTATCTAGAACTGTACACCTTGTCTAACTAGTAATTACACTAAAAAAAGAAAAAAGAATTAACAGATAAAAACTGCATAATAAGTATAATATACTAGACTAATATAATGTTATATAAATATATATAATATGCTAATTTTTAATAAAACATTTAAGAGTGTAGTAACCTAGTGAAGTGGTCAGGTTGTTAACCCTTCAAGTGGTAGGTTGGGTGTTCAAATCCTATTAATGGTGAAAATTTGAATAATCACTTATATAATATTTATATTATAGCAACTGTTACTAATAATTAGGTTAGGATATCTGTAATAGCAGTCACACCAGTATGACTAACAGGTTATAGGGCATCTGTATAAATATGGCATTATACAGAGAAAAGCAAATCAACAAATCGAGCAGTGCAAACACTAGATAAGTTCTTGTGGCTATGTAAATCTGTTAAAATTAGGTAACAAAAAGTCCATTTGAGAAAACCCAAGTAGAGAGGTAGCTAGATCTTTAATGGTCCTACTGTAAAGACTAGCCTGAGAAAATGGATATCAAG